AATACTCAATGTTAATTGATAGAAAAATAATATTGAACGAATAAATAAAACCTAAATTTGTTCTTTCTTCGTTGTCCATTTACTATCGATTATATTGTATCATTGAAATTTCCATTGATCTTTTCGAAATAAATTAGATAGATGAAATTTTTTTATGAAATATACAATTATATCCTTTTAGAAACGAAGATTCAAATTTATTCTTAACAGTCGATGAATTTCTAAGTTTTTTTTCGATATTTCATAAAACAAAAAAAAAGGAAAAAGAAAAAGAAAAAAGATAGGAGACACTATTATCCGTCTCTCTCTCTCTCTCTCTCTCTCTCTCTCTACTCTCACTTTAAAAAATTCGAAAAATAAATATTCCTTGTCGATTCTAATCAAAAAATTTACATTGATCTCCGATTAAACGAAATGAAATTATTTATGAAATTATAAATGGTATATATCACTTTAGAAATGAATTGAAATTAGAGAGAGAGAGAGAGAGAGAGAGAGAGAGAGAGAGAAAGTGAGAGAGAAAGTAAAATTAATACTAAGAGAAAGAGAATGTCGGTCATGGTGCAAGAATAGTATTAGCTAACCTAGTCTTATCTCGGTCATAATAGAAATTAGGGAGTAGGCATATTGAACCCTTAGAATTCTAACGGTAGCATGAAAGGCATAGAAAATCGGTGGTACATTCCGGATGAAATATCATTTCTTGCAGGTGCACTTACCCCACGTGTGTTTGCTTCCCTCTTTTAGAGCATTGTTCGAGATGTGACACTAACGCTATCCGTGTAATTATGCCGATACGGTTCGTGCATTATATCGCGGGGGAGAAGCCGCATGTGGCCTTCTAAACACCCTTTGGTCACGCATCGAGGGACCTATCTCTCTCTCTCTCTCTCTCTCTCTCTCTCTCTCTCTCTTTCTGTCTCTCTGTCTCTCTCCCTCTATCACTATATATCCTAATATGTGCTGGAACACATCTAACCATTTAAACGCGGAAGTTCGTATTAGAGGGACCAATAGAAACTATTAGTACCTATGTAAAAATCATTTAGTTATTTTCTGATTAAATGATAAATTGATTAACATTTTATTGTTATTATTATTTATATTTTATTTTTATAAAATATTCGAATTAATTTTCTTATACTCGTTAATTAATATACAATGCTTTAATCGATGTACGATCGATAGTTTCTTTGGTCTATTAAATATCGAATTTTGCTCAATCGACATAAATATTTATTATATATTTTCCGTCGAATGAAAAAAGGAAAATAAATAAATAATAATAAAATTTGAAAACTATGTATACTAATTAGTACGTGAAAATTGTTTTCAAATTAAGATATAGATCCATTAACATTTTATTGTTATTATTATTATTTTTATTATTATTATTATTACTGTTATTATTAATTTCGATATTAATTGTTCGAAAATATTTAAATTAATTTGTTATATTTATCGATTAATATATATATATATATATCAAATATATTCTATTAATATAATCGATATCGTAAGATAGAAAGAAGTCTTTTAAATTAATTTAAAAATTTTCTTTGATGTTATGATATTTGTACTTTACATTTTAAATAAATAAATAAATAATAATAAATTTATATTATTTTATATACATACATATACATATATATATATATATATTTATTTATTTTTAAGAAAAATTGTGATAGTAACTCGATATGCTCATACCTGTCCTCGTTCTACATCGCATCGAACAGAATGAATTTATCTTCCCTCGAGAACTCTGAAGTGTTGTTGTGTATGTATCGAGTGTGCCTCGATAATATTCCAGGACATTCGTCTAACGCGGTTGGAATAAATGTTACGAAGCGAGATGTGTGAAAACCAACGAGAGGCACATTTTATAGCGCAACAAGTTGCTGGTTATATTTTTTTTTTTTGATTTTAGTTTTCTTTTTTTTTGTTTTTCTTTTTTTTTCCTTTTTTTTTATTTCCATTTTTATTTTTATTTTATAGAAACCTTTCAAATTTGTCAGGTCAATGGGTGAAACGAAATAATGGCACTGATAATAATAATAATAAGAAGAAGAAGAAAAAAAATACGAAAGAAAAGAAAAGAAAAGAAAAAAAGAAAAAAAAGAAAGGAAAAAATTGAGAAATAATATTTTACACGTTACGTCGCGTTACATCGAAGTATCCTTAAAGGGAAATTATCCCTAAAATCGTTTCTACAAAGAAATAATGATATTTCCTTTAAACACCTACGATACATATTTCATTGCGCAATCGTATAGATAAAAAATATTTTTTGATAATGTTGAGGAGACGAAAGAAAAGAGAGAAAAGTAAAAGAAAAAATATAAACAAAAATAAGTAAGTCTATTACGGTTTTAAATTTGTAGAAAAAAATATTGGACTGATCTATTTGAAAAGATCCACTCAATATATACACACATATATATATATATATAAACATATGGTTACATAATAATATAATATATATGTAATAATACACAAA